AATACCCCGCACTGCACTTATATGTCCTATTGTTGGTAATGGATATATGGGTTTCCAACTTTTTTGCGATTATAAACAGTGTTTCTGTGAACATTCTGGTACAAGGGTTTTTCCTAGGATATTAACCTAGGAGAGGATTTATTATATAGATCATATTATAGGTAATGACAAACTTTTTAAAAATGTATTTTATTCAAGTATTGATTTCCAATGTGTTCATTTCTGCTGTACAGCAAAGTAATTCAGTTATACATAGATATTCCTTTTCATATTCTTTTCCGTTATGGTTTATTATAGGATATTGAATAGAGTTCCCTGTGCTATACAGTAGGACCTTGTTGTTTATCCATCCTGTATATAATAGTTTGCATCTGCTAATCCCAAACTCCCAGTCCATCCCTTCCCCACCCTCCCTCCCTCTTGGCAACCACAAGTCTGTTTTCTAATGACTAATTATTTTTCAACATGGTTGTACCAGTTTACACTCTGATTAGCCATGGATGAGTGTACCTGTCTCCATACCCTTGCCAACCCTTAATATTTTCTGATTTTTTAAATTTTTCCTCATCTGGGGGGTATATTATAGTATCTTGAAGTTTATTTTCACATCCACGATTACTAATAAGGTTGAGCATCTTTTTATCCACTTACAGGCCATTTGAGTTTATCTTTTGCGAAAGCCCTGTTTGTGCCTTTGCCTATGTTCCTATTTGGGTTGTCTTTTTCCTTTTGATTTGTGGCCATTTTAAAATGCGTATACAGTTTGGATAGTAATCCCTTATTGTGTTGCAGCTATCTTCCCAGTCGGAGCCTTGTCTTTTCGATCTTTTTTTTTTTTTTTTTTGCGGTACGTGGGCCTCTCACTGTTGCGGCCTCTCCCGTTGCGGAGCACAGGCTCCGGACGCGCAGGCTCAGTGGCCATGGCTCACGGGCCCAGCCACTCTGCGGCATGTGGGATCCTCCCGGACCGGGGCATGAACCCGTGTCCCCTGCATCGGCAGGCGGACTCTTAACCACTGCGCCACCAGGGAAGCCCCTTTTCACTATTTTTTATGGTGTCTTGTGATTTGGGGTTTGTGAAATGCTCATTTTATCTGTGACTTTGAGAATTCTTTGAGACTTTGGCTGAAATCGTGTCTTCTTTTTTCAGTCAGGGTTTGCATTTGCTTCTGCTTGAGCCCAGACCACTTTAATTCTCACCCTGGGATCACTTTAAATTAAATTCAGCCCTTGAGGTTTTCTCCAAACTGAACTTTCAAGAGTCCTCACGCCTGCCCTAGACTAAGAATCTGGACCAGAGAAGAGGGAATTGTACTCTTAATCCTCAGGGTAGATTTTTTTTTTTCATCCATCCAGCACCATAGTCAAGATAGGCAAGATCTCTTGCTGCCCGCTTCCATGCAGTGGTTTATTTCTCCTTCACTCTGGCCTGAAGATGAAGCCCCCTGAGTCCCAGCTTGGACAGAGGCCTACACTAGGCTCCCCATCTCTGGCAGCCTCTGGGCTGATCTGCAGTTCCCTGTGCTCATCAAAGCAGAATGTCAAGACCTCCAGGCTTCTGCAGAAATCCCAGAATAGAAGCTGGGCTCACTTCCCAGAGTTTTTGTTTTTACTTTATTTTTGGCCTCTGTGCATGCCTTTTTTTTTTTTTTTAAATATTAGCTCAGCAATGTTTTAAACATGTTTTTAAAAACACACACAAATAATCTGGGATTTTAGTTGTTTGCTTCTGAAAGTTGACCTGGGTATCTGGTCTTCCTACTGCTGGAACAGAGTGTACTTTTTCTTTTTTAAATTTATTTTATTTATATTTAATTTTAGCTGCGTTGGGTCTTCGTTGCTGCGTGCAGTCTTCGTTGCTGCGTGCAGGCTTTCTCTAGTTGCAGCGAGCGGGGGCTACTCTTCATTGTGGTATGCGGGCTTCTCATTGCCGTGGCCTCTCTTGTTGTAGAGCACGGGCTCTAGGCGCACGGGCTTCAGTAGTTGTGGCGCATGGGCTCACTAGTTGTGGCTCACAGGCTGTAGAGCGCAGGCTCCGTAGTTGTGGCGCACAGGCTTAGTTGCTCCGCGGCATGTGGGATCTTCCCGGACCAGGGCTCGAACCCAGGTCCCCTGCACTGGCAGGCGGATTCTTAACCACTGATCCACCGGGGAAGCCCCAGAGTGGCACTTTTATGTAAAACACCCTTACAGAAATGTCTGGGCATGGAGTCACACTTTACAGAGTTGAATTTTGCTTAAGTTGAAGAAACAGGCTGTGAAGTATTCTCCTTTTTATTTAAGGCAAAGCGCCATGATCTCAGTGTAAAGATGAGGGAGCCAGGGGTAGATGGAGAGGGAGGAGATCCCCCTTGAGTATCCCCTAGCTGCAGTCACGGCCCCTGTCCCTGTCCCCAAAAGGCAGGAAGAGAGAAAACCTGACAGGCGCCGCCGAGCAGCTCTGCTTCCTGCCACAAGTCAGCAAAAGTGGTTTGTTAATTATCCCCATCAAGTCTGACTCAACTGTTCTCAAGGCTCAGCTGCCTTCTTATACCAGGAGGTGGTTTCAGGTGAGGGAAGAAGTTTTAAATTGGGCAAATTTGGACTGGATTTTGATATCCAGGAAAGTCAAAACTTAGATTGCTTTCCTCCAGGGAAAGCACAGGGAGCTTAGTGCTGCAAGGACCTTCATTGTTCACATACTTTGTACATTTGTTTCTGTAAACAGGACCCTTTGACGTGGAAGTGTTGACAGAAATCTATGTACAATGGAAATAGCGTTTGCCGAAGTTACCTATCAAAATCATGAGCCTGTATACATGCAACAGCAGGAGAAAAACACCTGCATTAACTTTTTACAAAAAGTTAATGGATACTTTTATGAGCATATAGGGTAGGGAAGGTCTTTGCTACATTTAAAGATAAAAATAGGACGGAAATAATATTCATCATTACACAATCCTTTCAAACAGCAGGATGGAAGGACCCCATGAAGAAAAACCAATGGCCAACTCAGTGGGAAACTTGAAACATGAGGATATCCACCCCTTGACGTGTGAAAGCTCTTTACAGACAAGGAAACAAACTCAGCAGAATAGATAAGAGACACAAAGAGGCAATTTATAAGATATAAGCGGCTATAAAGATGCTTGGCGTCTAATCAAAGAGGTCCATGTTAAATCAGCAATGCTGTTTACCCAATGATGCTCCGATAGGCAAAGCCGTAGAACGCTACTGACCTGTGGTGGCAAGAGTGTGGGGAACAGGCACCCGTACGTTCCCAGAGCCCTACGGTCAAGAGGGGCGTAGCTTTCAACCCAGCATTTCTAAGAATTTCTTCTGAGAAAATGGTATACGAAGAATTACACGCTTACATAATTGTATTCGAAGATCAGGAAGTTCCCTGGTGGTCTAGTGCGTAGGATTTGCTGCTTTCACTGCCGTGGCGCAGGTTCAATGCCTGGTCAGGGAACTAAGATCCTGCAAGCTATGTGTCCCGGTCAAAAAAAATGTTTTAATTGTTTTTAATAAAAAAACATTGTTTTTAAAAAAGGAGATCAAATATATAGTTCAACCATGATACGAAGGAGAATGCAGCTGTTACAAGTAATAGGTAAGGACACAAAATGTCTACCTTCGCATGAAAAAAAAAGTTAAAGAGAAAAGTTGGTTACGTGATGTGATTGCAGTTGGCATCTATAGACTCATGCTTGGTTTAAACAGCATCGACGCCGTTCCCAGAACCACCCTTCCGTGCTGTTTAAACGCTTACAATGAGCTCGTGCAATGAAGGCAATGGTAAGAAGAGTTGGCCCTGGATGGAACTGAATCCCTGACCCCTCAGAGCCTGTCAGCCTGGTTCCTCCAAATAACATCCAAGCTGAGAATCCTCACTTATTTCACACTAACCCTGAAAAGTGTATCCCGTAGGCCCTGTACAAGCCAGGAGGTTGGACAGAACAAGTCATCCCTGGTCACAGATGGGGAAACAGTCCCAGCTAAGGGGAGTTCCTTAACTAACTTCCATAGCAGGTGTCTGGATCTTCATGCCTAAGTGCTCTATTCTGCTAGAAGAGCCTAAGGCAGCTGCTTCCCCTAGCCCCTCCTCATCCTGAGCTATAAGCTTGTCCTCATATGGGGAAGAAAAAAAAAATTTAGGTAAGCATTAGTTTTGGGGCAGGAGGAGGAGAAATTCTGGTAGTTAATAGTACTCAGTAAATGTTGGCTGTTATGTACTATTCTAAGGATTCTTATCTATTAATTCATTTTATCCAACACCCCTATGGGGATAGGTATTATTCCCATTTTACAGATGTGGAAACCGAGGTCCAGAAGAGTTCAATAACTCAATATCACACAGCTAGTAAGAGGCAGAGCCAGGGTTATAATCAAATAGCCTGGCTTGTATTCGACCAGTATCCTGAAAACAGAAAAGATGGAGCTGGCCAGGGCTGGAGAGTGCCTGCATGGTGTCAAGGCCACGGGCCTGACTCAAGCACTGTGGTTCCCTTTACGCCACTTCTCTAACTCACGCCCTACCAAAGGCCAGAGAGGTATCTGAAACCAAGTTTCACTTCCCCACCAGATTCTCCAGCAGCCAGCTGAACCCAGCCCATTCCGCCTAGGTTGGGTTACCTTTCCCACCCTAGAAGCTCTACACGGCAGCAAAGACCTTTCCAGACCAACAAGTCAGAGATGAAGGTCTGTGTCGTACACAAGCAGACGGTCGGCAGCACAGCCAGCACTGGTACTGACCTGTCTGGCAGCCGTGCCCACTATGGCATCAGGCAGCATCAGGGCCAACAGGCTGCCGTTCAGCCTGTGCCGACCATCCCTGTGTGGACCAGTCCCAGGGGCCAAGTGAGTGGGAAGGGGGGCTGGTGAGGGGAGGAGTAGCCAGCATCCTCTATGGGAGGCTGGGAGGCTCGAGGGGGCCTGGGAGGAGCTTGTTCAAGTCAAGGTTAGTTCTTTCGGCCCCGGGAGCTCTGGATTCCCTCATCCACGATGGCAACCAAGTGGCATGCTTCGAGGACGCCCGGTCAGAACTCCTGTGGCTGTGAGAAGGTGACAAGCCCTCACGGGCCATTAGCCCCGCCAGGCTCCCGATTCCCAGCTACTGCTGTTCTTTGACTCTGCCGTGAGTTGACCTCCCCCTACCTTCTCGTCCTGCTTTCTCTGCCTGGAACGCTGCCTTTCCTTGCGGAGAGGCAAAGTCTCCTAAATTCAGTCCTGGGAGACATTGGACGCTACCCAATAATAGAGGCCGCGATTCTAGAAGGACAGAGCTGACTCTGAAGCGCAAGTGTCTAAGCTGAGAATGATTCTGTCTAGTCACCACAAGTAGCTTTTCCACACCTGCTTTCACTAGGCTTGAAACAAGGGTCTATTCAGCCTGTTCACCTTCTGTTGCCTTCCAGGAGCTTCTGGGCTTGGCCTGGCTCAGGTCCACAAAGACGCCAACCCCTCAGACCAGGGCAACAGCCAACAGCAAAAGAATTCCCCAGAGGAGAGGTCTTGGGTTGCAGCTCATGGTGGAACCTGCCAGACAAAAGGGATCTGAAGGATGGCAGGGCTGGGCAAGGGCCCCTCCAACTCTCTCCCCAAACCCCAGCCCTTGGGAATCACACTGGGCAGAGCTGAAGCTGCCCTTTTGCAGATGAGGTGGACCCTGGCTAGCTTCGCTTAGTTCCCCAATGAATTCAGTTACACCATCTCCTGCCCTCACGGTAGCCAGAGCTTCCCCATTTTGTCAGCGCACCCTGGAGGGCCAAGGCCTGAGGGGCCTGCCCACAGCCTCATACCTGCAGGCTCCAGCGTAGACTCCCACCTGTAGGAATCCTCAAAGCCCAGTGGCCCGGGAGAGCTCACCATGCTCTGGGCCTGGCAATGTCATTGTGGTGACCTGAGGCTCACTGCCATCCTGCTCCCCACGTGGCTCAGAAGCCAGGAACAGGCCTGCAGACATGAAAGAACAAAGAACCCCCCTGTTTTGTCCTCCACCCTGGACTCACCTGCAGCCCCAGAGCTACATGTGGTCGAGTAAGTCTTTAGCCCTGAGGGGCAGCAGGCAGAGGTGCCGCAAAGGAAGTAAACCTGGCGGGATGAGGATAAGATCAAGGCACGGGGCTGGCTTAGAGCCCTGGGCACGAAGCACTGAGGCAGGGACATGGCGTCTGGAACCCAGCCAGGTCCACACTGCTGCCGGCCAGGCAGGAGGGAAGAGATCTGGGCATGCTGACCAGCCCAAGTCCCACGAGTTACAGAGTCATAGGTGCTGCTTCCCAACTTGGAATCTGTGCCTCCCTCGTTCTGGATGGCTCACGTCTGCAGTAGTGAACCCTGCGGGAGGGAGCCGCTCTGCCGTGTAGAGCCCTGGCCCCGGCCTTCAGAGTCTCCCTGGGAGGGCCGACTTGCTCCCTTTGCCACCCGACAGATGGGGAGAGGGGATTCCGAGGACGTGGTGTTAACTGGGCAGCAGGAGAGCAGATGTCTGGCGCCCTCTCTTCCTGGCCCTCAATGACCAATGACTGGGGGGCAGGGTTGCGGGGGGGGCGGGTTACCATGGCTTCCAGAAACACAAAGCCACGGGCAGCTCCCAAAAGGTGTAGAAGCAGGGACTTCCCTGGTGGTCCAGTGGGTAAGACTCCACACTCCCAATGCAGGGGGGCCGGGTTTGATCCCTGGTCCAGGAAATAGATCCTGCATGCATGCCGCAATGAAGATCCTGCGTGCCGCAACTAAGACCTGGCGCAGCCAAAATAAATAAATTAATTAAAAAAAAAAAAGGAGTAGAAGCAGGAGGAACTGACTTGAACCGGCACCCAGCAGCGTAACCAACAGGTACCCCTTCATCCAGCAGGCGGGGGTCTCTTGGCTCAGGAAGAGGCACGCAGCTGAGCTGGTTATTCAGCTACCCTCCTAGGTGCTAACCAGTGACATCTGTCTACATCTGATGGAATGCCATGCATCTATTTAAAATATATAGAGGGCTTCCCTGGTGGCACAGTGGTTGAGAATCTGCCTGCCAGTTCAGGGGACACGGGTTCGAGCCCTGGTCTGGGAAGATCCCACTTGCTGCGGACCAACTGGGCCCGTGAGCCACAACTACTGAGCCTGCGCATCTGGAGCCTGTGCTCCGCAACAAGAGAGGCCGCGATAGTGAGAGGCCCGCGCACCGCAATGAAGAGTGGACCCCGCTTGCCTCAACTAGAGAAAGCCCTCGCACAGAAACGAAGACCCAACACAGTCAAAAAATAAATATAAAAATAAATTTTAAAAAAAAAGACTGGGAAATATTTTTAAAATATATATATAGAGAGAGAGATCTGTCTATATTAAGGTGAAAGATTTATATTGTTCAGTAGAACGACAGTTAAACAGTAGTGTGTGGCCTGTGGTGCCAGTTATAGAATATGTAGAAGATCCTAAATGTATCCATACTTACCTTCCGCAGAAGCTGAGTTATAAAAATTCAAAGCAGAGGGACTTCCCTGGTAGCGCAGTGGCTGAGAATCCGCCTGCCAGTGCAGGGGACATGGGTTCGAGCCCTGGTCCGGGAAGATCCCACATGCCGCGGAGCAACTAAGCCCGTGCGCCACAACTGAGCCTGTGCTCTAGAGCCCACGAGCCAGAACTGCTGAGACTGCATACCACAACTACTGAAGCCCACGTGCCTAGAGCCCGAGCTCCACAACAAGAGAAGCCACCGCAGTGAGAAGCCCGCACGCAGCAACGAAGAGCCAATGCGGCTGAAAGTAAAACTAATGAATTAAAATAAAATTCAAAGCAGAATTATGCTGAACACATCATTTCTAGAGTCAGAAGTGAGGCCACTCTGGAGCACCATGCCCGGCTCAGGTTAGGGTTGATTGCCTTTACGATCCGGCATTTTCCTTCCTCCCTCTGGAGTGGTTTGCAGGTCGGGGCTCACTGCCCTGCACAGCACTCAGGAAGACCAAGCCCCGTCCGGGGACCTTTGTCCGCATTAGCTCGCAGGGGGCTGGAGGGATTCGGTGACGCGCTCATCCCCGCTTAGCAGACGGGGAGCAGGCAGGAGGAACACATGCTTCTGAGTGGTCCCCTGCGGGCCCTCCAGGAGCCAGCGTCCAGTGGGGCGAAGGTGGCAACGGTGAAGCACGGGTAGTGAGAGTGGAAGGGCAGAGCTACCCTTCCAAGGCCATCATTCAGGTCCTGAGCTGTCACCGAAAGGACACCTGGGGAGGAGAGACGTCAAGGAGGGGGAGGGGAGGGGCAGATCCAGCACCACCGCCACTCACCTGACTGGATGGGCCACTGAGGATACTGGAAGGGGTTGGCGCTGGGAGCGGCCCAGTGCAGATGCAGCACCAAGACCAGCATGGGGTCTGTCCTCTGCAGGAGCCAGACCTCCATGGGGTCAGCCTCTTGAAGCAGCCCCACAATGGGGTGGTCCCCCTCCCTGTGGTAGGAACTAAAAGCCTTGTCTGCAGGGAGAGGGGCTCATGAACTTCGGTTGGCTGGATGTCTGGGAAGTGGGGGTGGGTAGAGAAAGCACAGGGACACCGTACCCTTTTCCCTTGTCGATCTGCAGCTGAAGCCTCAGGGGGCCGTACTGGGTCACAGTGGCTGGATGGGGAAGGAAAGAGGGACGCCTGGAGGGGCAGGAAGTCACTGGCATTGAAGACACAGTGGATGTGAAGCCTGAAGTCCCAGGTGGAGAGGATGGAGGAGAGAAGACACAGAATCAGCGCATCCAGATTACTGTACTGTGTGGATGCGACATACGAGGCTTGGTCCGGGGGGGGGAATGGATGCTACCTGCAATCACCTGGGTGATGTGCATCGTTGCCCGTCCTCTGCCCACCACGTCTTGTCTTCTCGGGACAGTTCGAGCCTGCTGTGCCAGGCCATCTTCTAGATGGAAAGGCTGGAGCCCCATGGGGCTGACAGATGCCCACCCTGTTCGGAAAGCTCTGTCATCTCACAGACCCGGGTTTGAATCTTACCAGCATTTACTGGCCGGTTAACCTAAGCCTCAATTTCTTCATTTGCACAGTGGCGCTGACCCCCTCCCTCCAAAGGCTGTGCTTAAGGATCAAGTGAGGTCACGAGATAGCGCACTGGGGTCATCCTCGTCCTTGCAGTTGTGGCTGGTCTGCCACTGGGTCCCGTGCGCCTGGCTGGCCTGCGTGGCACTGCACACACCCGGTGGGGGTAGGGGCAGGCTGGCACCCGGGGATGTTCTGTAAGAAGAGCTGACCCACCCTACCCCAGCTCCTGAGCGCTCGACCTTCACTTCTACTTGCGGCAGAGCCCTGGGTTCAGGCCTGGGCCGGTGCCCTTGGGGAGGACGTCCTACCAATGGAGACCAGGGCCTGGCACAAAGAAGGTGTCAGTACACACGAGTGGTTCCACCCTGACCGGAAGGCCTTTCCTCTGCAGGGCCCTCCAGCTCATTCCTGATGGCCTACAGCTGTTTCCCCTTACGCTTCCCTTCTGTGATGAATTCTGGCTAGCTCCCGTAGCTGTTAAATCCTGATGTCCAAAGCGTGACAGATTTGTCCCCGGTCCCCCTGGGAATACATAACATTTTAAAGGAAAAGACATTTGAATCCTGACGCCAGCAGCCTGCCCCAGCCCTCATGGCGGGAAGGGTGGGAAAAAAAGACATCTGGAAACCCACTCAGTGCCAAGCACAGAATTCCTACACCCCGTGGTTACCATATTAGTTCAGGCTGAGGTTGGCGCCTGGCGCCTGGGGTTCAGAGACAGGTGTGACAAGCTCAGATGTCCTCAGGGGTTACCCCCTGGCATCCTGGGTTCCTGGCTCGTTTTGCCACCTGAGTCAGCAGGTGCCGGTGGCCCCTTTCAGTGAGGGGTTCTCCCTCAGCTCCCCCCCACCCCACCCCGTACCCTCAGGGCTTCAGCCCCAGCCATCTCCTGCCTCATCTGCGGCTTTGTAACCTCCGAGATCAGGAGGTGGCGACGGTCAGGCACAGCCTTGGCTTCTTCCTGGGACCTGGAAGGGGACTTTTCAGCTTCTTGAGGCTTGGTTTCTCAGCTCAGTTCCTGGAGGGATAAAGGTGAGGGCTCTCGAGGACTCCGGCCCTCTCAGACCCGGCTGTGGCTTCCGACTGCCAGGCGTGGGCAGGCCGGGTCTAATGCTCACATCAGCTCTGGTTGAGAGGCGTTGCCCCGGCCTGGGGGGCCGGTGGTGCTGGGAAGAGGTAAGTAGTCATCCGAGGTCACACCGTGGGTGATGGCAGAGCTTGGCCGTGACCCCAGATGGCTCCAAAGCCTGTGCTCCCTTCACACCCAAGCCCGCGGCCCAGCCTGTGTGAGGAAGGCGCCGTCCCACATGATGGAACCGTGTGGCCCCATCCAGATGCCCATGTGGGACACCAACTGGTTCTGCTGGATGCTGTCCACCTGTAGGAAGAGACAGCTGGGCGAGGCCCTCCCAGGGGGTGGTCATGGGCACCAGTGTGGCCCCCACTCTACCTGGACTGTGGTGTCACAGCAGGTGAGAGGGCCAGCCGTGGAGACCACGGAGGATCCCGCCTCCTGGTTGGGGAGCAGCTGGGGGGCGGTGCAGACCAGTTGGACATTGATTAGTGTCCTGCACACCAAGGCTGTTCCGCGGGACACCACCAGGACGAAGTGACTGTTTCTGAAGCACTGGACAGTCACTGGGACGAAGGCAGATCAAAGAGGAGGGTCAGTGCCTTGGGGTTCAGGGTTCATCATAAACATGGTGTGGGGAGGGCCTGGGCGACCGTCAGCATTTGAGGGCTGACCTGGCTCCTCTCACTGCCCTTTCTTGCAGTGGTAACTCCAGCAAAGCCTTCACAGACCAGACTTTCTCATGCAGGCAACAGACAGGCAAACTACACTCTAAAAGTAGGGTCACCATGTAATTTATCCTCCACGCTGGAATGTTCTAGATCTATGGGTAGGGCGACATGTAAAGATAGATTAACTGTTATCAGGCTGGGGCAGGTGGTCACCACGTCTAAAGATCTCTTCTGCGGTCCATTCTGGGGGCCAGGCTCTCCTGGGAACGGGGCGTGGAGCAGTTTCATCACTGGTGAGTGGGGTGGGGGAGGAAGCCCTCCTATTCCTTCAGCATTCAGGGGACAAGGGCCTTGCTTGGTTTGGAAAGTGGTACCTGTGTTGCCATAGTAACAGGGACCCTCTCAGGTGTTGTCATGACAGCAGCCAGCTGACGGGCTTCCTTTGAACTTCTTCTCATTCTGCGGGGGATGTGCCTGGAGGCCACCTGACACTGTTCCTGAGTCAGAGGGTACCTAGGGCTGGGGACAAGCGTGGTGAGGACATGAGAAGGAGCCACGTGGGCTGCAGACCTCCAGAGAATGGAGGGCAGTGGCCTCGTAGAGCCCAGCAAAGGGCTGTCAGGTCCCCCGATCCTCAGGAGGTCTCCCGACAGAGTGTGCGCACATGGAGGACTCCTCCGTACCTCCGTAAGCTGGCTTGTCAGCGGCTCCCCACCGTGTTCCAAGGTGCCCCGCTGGGGTCGAGCTAGGGTGGGGTGGGTGGGTCCAGGGACCGTGAGGCAGGGGTTAAATGGGCTAAGCTGTCCTCTGGGGTAGGGCGGAGGGGATGCGGATGAGGGGCAGGAAGTGAGAATGTGGTGGGTGGTGCCAGGTGGGAGTCTGGAGTCCAGGTGTGATCAGGTTTGGGACAGATGATCAGAGTGACCACTGGGCTGCACAGCTCCCATGAACACCCTCAGGTGGGAGCGCCCATCCTACAGGAGAGAGGGCGACGGGAGCAGCATCCGGGCAGAGGAAGGATCAGTGCCCAGGACTTAGCCTTCCTCATCCACCAGCCCGCTGAGTGGCCTTGGCTTCCGATGTGTCCCTGGTCCTTGAGGGGCCTCTCTAGCCTGACACTGTGTTAGGGCAAGCTGGTTCCCAGCCGGGGGTCTCCCCCAGAGCAGTGAGATCCCTACCTTCTGCAGCACATGGCAGTCTTTGTAATTGGCAGAAAAAGACCGCGGGCCCCTGAGGCTCGGCGGTCACCCGTGATGACAGATGGAGCAGCTGTTCACCTCAGACGGGTTCCCAAATTCATCTGGGATGGGGAGAGGGGAGACAGGGATGGAGGGAAGGAGTCACGGATGCTGAAGGGGGAAGCCAGAGGCTGTTGGACTCTGCTGAGAAGACTCCCCACGCAGGAGAAGAAGTACCTCCTAGAGGTCTCCTGGGGGATTAAGGCCATTAATACCACCGTGGCTGTCACCCATAACAAACAACGAGAACAGACAATTAGATACTGTGGCCTCCTGGCTGGGATCCTAAAACAGAAAAGGACCTTAGGTGAAAGCTAAGGAAATGGACTTTAGTTATAACAATGTGTCAACATTGGTTCATTAATTGTAATAAATGTACCATCCTACCGTGAGATGTTAATTACAGGGGGAGCTGTGTGGGGTATATGGGAACTCTCTGTGCTATCTTCTCAGGTTTTCTGTAAATCTGGGACAATTCTAAGAAATAAAGTCTATTAACAACAACCAGCCTGGTTCACAGACAGGGGCGCTTCGCACGCGCCCAGCAGGGTCCCAAGCCTTGCTTGTATTATAGCTCATCAGGGGCCGTCCTCCGAGGGAGGGGCTGGCCCCGTCCTCAGTCCTCATCTCCTGGAAGCCTTACCGCAGGGTCTGGAGGAGCCCAGCTCGGCTAGCGTTCGTCCCCACAGGTCGTTATAATTCATAGCAGCGGGGAGAGCATGTGGCCTGGTAGGTAGAGTCTGGTTCCAGTCCAGCCCCCTGGTCACTTTCTGGCTGTGACCTGGGACACATCATTTTTCTGAGCTTCGGTTTCCCGTTTGTGGATTGGGGTTGATATTGCTTACCTCGCAGGGTGACGGGAGACTGAAAGAGACAAATACTGGGGGTGATAAGTCATTTGTGACAATGACTGAACACTTGGTAGCGATCAACTTTTACTGCGGTTAGCGCCGAGGTGGGGGAAGCTCCCTGCGTTAAGGGCCCTGGGAGCAGAGCAGGTAGAGCCTGCGAACCCAGAGGCAGGGCAGTTTCTGGAGGGAAGGCTGCCTGAGCAGAAGCAGAGGCGCCAGTGGGCACAGGGGGTGCCGTCGGGGGGAGCGGTATTGTGCCGAAGCGGAGGGGATTTGGGGGGTGGGGAGGACAGGGCATAGAGAGGTGGGGAAACATCGGACTTAAGCTGGGCTGGGAAGGGGAGGAGATGTGGCTGGAGGGGGGCAGGGGCTGGTGAGGTGACCTTCCTGCGGGACGATGGGAGGTTTTCAACTTTTTTTTTTGAAATACTTCCATTCTTACTGAAAAGAAGTTCCATATATCCTTCACCCAGATTCCTCAAACGTTAACTGTTAACTTCTTTTTACATGTGTTTCAGTGCTCACCTTCTCTCTGATTGTATGTACGCGCGCACACACATACACACGCAATTTCTTCCATTATAGCGTGAGAGAGCTGGTTGCAGACACGACTGACTCTGAACACTGCTGTGTGTATTTCCTAAAAAACAAGCAACCACAGTTAAAAGATCAAAATCAGGGATTCAACATTGGTATGACACAACTGCCTAATCTATGAACCTTATTCAATTCACCTATTGTCCTCATGCTTTTACAGCAAAGGAGAAAGATTTTTTTCCCAGGCCAGGTCCAGTCCAAGGTCAGGGTCATGTTCCTTGGGCCTCTTCCAATCTGGGACAATCCCTCTGTCTGTGTCTCTCATAGCGTGAATACTTTTGAGGAGTACAGGCCAGTTATTTTGCAGCATGGCCCTCATTTGGGTTTGTCTCGTGTTTCCCCCTGCTTAGACGCAGTTTATGCATTTTTGGTGGTGTGGGTTGCTAGGGCCACCAAAACAAAATACCATAGACTTGGTGGCTGAAACAATAGAAATGTGTTTTCTCACAGTTCTGGAAGTTGCAAGTCCAAGATCACGGTGTCAGAAGTTTGGCTCCTTCTGAGGCTTCTCTGCCCTTGACTTGCAGGTGACCGCCTTCTCGCTAAGCCCTCACATGTGCGCATACACTCCTGGTGTCTCTTTATGGGTCCAAAATTCTTCTCCTTCTAAGGACACCAGTCTGATTGGATTAGGACCCACCCTGATGGCCCCATGTTAACTTCATCACTTCTTAAAGACCCCATCTCCAAATACAGTCACATTCTGAGGCACTGCGGATTAGAGCTTCAATATATGAATAGAGGCACAGTTCAACCCATAACAGGCAGCAACACCCCAGAGGTGATGTTGTGTCCTTCTAATTGCATTCAAACCAGAGGCTCATCGTACGGCTTGTCCTATTACTGCTGATAGATCTTTGATCACTGGGTGAGATGGGGCTGGCCAGGTTTCTCCACTCTACAGCTACCGTGTTTCTCTTTGGAAATAGAAAGTATATTCTGGGGAGATATTTTGAGACTACTTAATTATCCCGCCTCTCAGCAAACATTCACCCACTGGTGTGCTGGTTCTCCAATCCATCATTCCTTCTGTCAATACATTGCTTCGCATTCTGTTGTAACAGAGAGCTTTCCCTGATGGGGGGTTTTAGGTGCCAGGGAGAACACCAGACAGAGGAGTTGAGAGACCTGGATTCTATCCTGCATTCACCTCTCAGGAGCCAAGGGACCTTCCCCATCTGTAAAATAGGCATGGAATTAGATAATACTCAGAGAGGTGTTTTCTAACGGATCAAGGACCTTACTCGTGAGGAAAGCGTCTCTCCCAAGTCCCTGGAAAGGCAGAGAAAGAGCAGGGGATCTTCCTCATGGCCAAGGGCAGAAGGATGCCTTCGAGAAAAGTGGTGCTGAGCTGTCCTGGAGAGAGAGGGCCCTGAGAACTTGGTCATGACTCTACATTCTCGCAAAGACTCACGGGCACCAGAGCTCATCTGCCCGATGCTGGGTGGCCTCAGCCTGCAGCGGCTTGAAGCAGGGTTTCAGTTCCCAGCCAGGGATTGAGGTCAGGTCACGGCAGTGAGAGTGCTGAATCCTAGTCACTAGACCACAAGGGACAAGTGGCCAGTTACAAAGCCCTGGCCCATCAGCTGTGTAGAGACGAATTTCCATATAGAGATGGAAAGTAGTGAAACAAGTAAAGTGTTTATTAGGAGGAAAAGGGTTACGTGTGGATAAACACACGGGCGGGCTGAGAGAGAGAGAGAGAGTCATGCCCTTGTGATAGTTTGAATCACTTATATGGGGCATTCCTTCCCGGTTTCCTTTGGCCAATCATCTTGCTTTGCCTGGTTCTGAGGCTGTATTTAGTTTATCTCAGAGTCCTCCCACGTGTGCACACGCA